ATCGGTCTTGAACGGGTCTTGAATGAGTCTTGAATGAGCCTTCAGTGGGTCTTGAATGAGCCTTCAGTGGGTCTTGAATGAGCCTTCAATGGGTCTTGAATGAGCCTTCAGTGGGTCTTGAATGAGCCTTCAGTGGGTCTTGAATGAGCCTTCAGTGGGTCTTGAATGCACCTCCCATGAGCCTCACCACTCCCCCAACCCACACCAGTGCCCCTCACCCACCCCCTTCCCCTCTCTCTCTCCCCCCCCCACCCCACAGGAGGTGGAACCCATGTGCAAGGAGAGCGACCACATCCACATCATCGCCCTGGCGCGGGCCCTGCACGTCTCCATCCTGGTGGAATACATGGACCGGGGGGAAGGGGGGGCCACGAACCCCCACGTCTTCCCCGAGGGCTCCCAGCCCCGCGTCTGCCTCCTCTACCGCCCCGGCCACTACGACATCCTCTACAAGTGAGCGCCCGGCTCGAGCCAGCCTCGCACGAGCACTGGGGGGGGGGGGGGTCCACAAGTGCACCCCCCCCTCCCCTCCCTCCCCTGGCTCCCCCCTCCTCCCTCCAATAAAGACGTGGCCCCACTCGCTCTGGATGTTGATTTGGGGGGGGGGTGGGACCACTCGGGGGTTGCATTGGGTGTCCAGGCAAGGGGGCTGGGAGGTAGCTGGGGGGGGCATGGGGTGGGAGGGGGCACATTGGGGGATCTATGCAGTGGGGGGGCTCATTGGACCCATTGAGGGGGCACATTTGGGGGTCCCTGCAGTGAGGGAGGGGCTCATTAGACCCCCTTAGGGGGCACATTTGGGGGGTCCATGCAGTGGGGGAGGACATTGGACCCCTTTAGGGGGCACATTTGGGGGGTCCATGCAGTGGGGGGGGACATTGGACCCCTTTAGGGGGCACATCTGGGGGGTCCATGCAGTGGAGGGGGGACATTGGACCCCTTTAGGGAGTATATTTGGGGGTCCATGCAGTGGGGGGGGACATTGGACCCCTTTAGGGGGCACATTTGGGGGGTCCATGCAGTGGGGGGGGGACATTGGACCCCTTTAGGGGGCACATCTGGGGGGTCCATGCAGTGGGGGGGGGACATTGGACCTCTTTAGGGAGTATATTTGGGGGTCCATGCAGTGGGGGGGGGCTCATTGGACCCATTGAGGGGGCACATTGGGGGTCCCTGCAGTGAGGGGGCTCATTGGACCCCTTTAGGGGGCACATTTGGGGGTCCATGCAGTGGGGGGGGCTCATTAGACCCCTTTAGGGGGTATATTTGGGGGGTCCATGCAGTGGGGGGGGGGGCCCATTGGGCTCCTTTAAGGGGCACATTTTGGGGGTCCATTCAGTTGGAGGCACATTTGGGGGATCCATGCAGTGACGGGGGGCTTACTGGACCCTTTTAGGGGGTACATTTGGGGGGTCCATGCGAGGGGGGGGCACATTTAGGGGGTCCATGCAGTGGGGGGTGGCTTATTGGACTTCTTTAGGGGGCACATTGGGGGATCTATGCCGGGGGGGGCACATCTGGGGGGTCCGTGCAGTTGAGGGAGTGCTCATTGGACCCCTTTAGGGGGCACATTTGGGGGTCCATGCAGTGGGGGGGGAACATTGGACCCCTTTAGGGGGCATATTTGGGGGGTCCATGCGTGGGGGGCACATATGGGGGTTCCATGCATTCGGGGGGGTCATTGGTCCCCTTTAGAGGGCACATTTGGGGGGGGTCCATGCGGGGGGGTCCATTGAGTGTCCAGAAAGGGGCAGTTTGGGGTCTGGGGGGGGGGGTCTTAGTGCGTGTGACACATCCTGCCCCCCCCCCCCCCCCCCGCTTCCCCCCGTGTGCCCCCCCTTGGGATCAAACACGGGGGGGGGGGGGGGCAGAACCAGACCCCTCGTACCAGGGCCCCTGTGCAAGCCCCATTGGGGGGCACAAGTGGGGCGGTTCCTCCCCCCCCCCCGCCAGCCCTCGTGCAAGCCCCCCCCCTCCCCCCATCCGCCGTGTCCCCGCGCACCGGGAGGCGGCGCATCCCCCCCCCCCCCCCCCCCTCCGCCGCCTTCCCACGCCCGCAGCCGCCGCCGCCAGCACCGGCCCCATCGCAGCGACCGGCACCGACCCCGGTGAGCGCCCTCCCCCCCACCCCCCCACGGCCGGGACCCCCTCCCCCCCCTCCGGGACCCCCCCTGCATCCCCATCCCCCCCCCCCCCCCCCCCCCCGTGGTACCCATTGATGCTCCAGCGCGGGGGGAGGGGCCGGAGCGGCAGCAGCGGAGCCCATCCCCCTGCCTCCGGCACCACCGGAGAGAATCCCCCCCCCCATCCCCCCCCCCCCCCCGGGACCCCCCCAACCCCCCCTAGGCCCCCCGGAGCCCCCCCAGAACCGCTGCTTCCTCCCCTCCCCCTCCAACGCTGGGGATGCTTCAATGGGGGGAGGGGCCCAGGAGGCCGGGGGGGGGGGGGGGGGGGGGATGGGCCGAGGCGCGCGGGACGCTGAACCCCCCTGCCCACCCCCCCCCCCGAGCCCCTTTAACCCCTCCCCCGAACCCCCAAACCCACTCAACCCCCCCCCCATCCCCAGGGATGCTCAGCCAGGGGGAGGGGCACAGCCAATGGGGGGCGCTCCGGGGGTCCCAGGGGTGCTGTTCCCCCCCCCCCCAACCCCAATGACCCCCCCAGCACCCCCCCACCCCCCCCCCCCCAGGCATGGGTGTTCCAGTTGGGGGGCTGGGAACAGCACCAGGCCCTTGGCTGATGCAATGGTGACCCTGGGGGCACGGGGGTCCCGGGGGGGGCCATGGTGGGGAGGGCCCTCCCCCTAATGAGCTGGTGTTAATTGGGCTGCTTCATTAACGCGGGTGGGTAATGAGCACCCAGGGGGGGCCCCAACACACACGGGGACTGCCCCCCCCCCCCCAAGCTCATGACCCCTTTTCACCATCCCCCCCCCCCCCCCAAAGCGGGCCCCCCCAAGGCGGGGGGGCCATGGAGCACCGGAGCCGGTAGCAGCGGCCTCGTACGAGGACCCGGACCCATTGCGCACAGGTAGGGCCCCCCCCTCCGCTGCCTATGGGGAGGGGTCCTGCCCTATATATGGGGGATAGCGGGGGGGGGAGCAGAACATTGATCTCCTATAGGGGGGCTTGGGGAGGTCCTGCCCTATGGGGTTTATTGGAGGGGGGGCTGCCATATACATGGGGGTCTCGCCCTAGATACAGGGTTGGGGGGGCAGCACACAGGTCCCCTATGTGGGTGTCCCTGTGCTATCTATGGGGGTCAGTGTGGTGTCCCTGCCCTATATATGGGGGTCAATGGAGGGGCAGCACGTAGGTCCCTTATAGAGGGGTCCTGAGCTACATATGGGGCACAATAGGGGGGTCCCTCCTCTATATGTGGGGTTTTGGGGGGATGCATACAGGTCCCTTATAGGGGACTGGGGGGGATCCCTGCCCCATCTATGGGGTTCAGTATGGGATGTCCCTACCTAAGGGGTTGGGGGGGGTTCCTGCCCTACATATGGAGTTCAGTAAGGGGTCCCTGTCCTACATATGGAGTTCAGTGTGGGGTGTCCCTATCTATGGGGCTCAGGAGGGGGGTTTCTGTCCTAGGTATGGGGTTTTGGGGGGGGGTCCCTGCCTTATCTATGGGGTTCAGTGGGGGGGGCAATGTCCTATGCATAGGTTTAGTGTGTGGTGTCCCTGTCTATGTGGTTTGGGGGCAGTGCCCCTGTCATATGTATGGGATCTGGGGGAGGGGGTTCCTGCCCTATATATGGCATTCAGTAAGGGGTCCCTGCCCTATGTATGGGATTTGGGGGTGGTCCCTGTCCTATGTATGGGATATGGGGGAGGGGGGTGTCCCTGCCTTAACTATGGGGCTCAGTAAGGCGTCCCTGCCCTATGTATGGGCTTCAGTGTGGGGTGTCCCTATCTATGGGGCTCAGTAAGGGGTCCCTGCCCTATGTATGGGGTTCAGTGTGGGGTGTCCCTATCTATGGGGTTCAGAGGGGGGGTCCCTGCCCTATATATGGGATTTAGGGGGGATCCCTACCCTATCTATGGGGCTCAGTACGGGGTCCCTGTCCTATGTATGGGGTTCAATGCGGGGTGTCCCTATCTATGGGGTTCACTGGGGGGGGTCCATGCCCTACATATGGGATTTGGAGGGGGGTCCCTGCCTTATCTATGGGGCTCAAGTAAGGGGTCCCTGTCCTATGTATGGGGTTCAGTGTGGGTGTCCCTGTCCTATGTATGGGCTTCAGTGTGCGTGTCCCTGTCTATGGGGTTCCATGGGGGGGTCCCTGCCCTATGTATGGGATTTAGGGGGGATCCCTGCTCTATCTATGGGATTTGGGGGGGGGGTGGTGTCCCTGCCTTATCTATGGGGCTCAAGTAAGGGGTCCCTGTCCTATGTATGGGGTTCAGTGTGGGTGTCCCTATCTATGGGGTTCAGTGGGGGGGGGCCTGTCCTATGTATGGGGTTCAGTGTGGGTGTCCCTATCTATGGGGTTCAGTGGGGGGTCCCTGTCCTATGTATGGGGCTCAGTGTGGGTGTCCCTATATATGGGGTTCAGTGGGGGGGTCCCTGTCCTATGTATGGGCTTCAGTGTGGGGGTCCCTGTCCTATGTATGGGCTTCAGTGTGGGTGTCCCTATCTATGGGGTTCAGTGGGGGGGTCCCTGTCCTATGTATGGGGTTCAGTGTGGGTGTCCCTATCTATGGGGTTCAGTAAGGGGTCCCTGTCCTATGTATGGGGTTCAGTGTGGGTGTCCCTATCTATGGGGTTCAGTGGGGGGGTCCCTGTCCTATGTATGGGCTTCAGTGTGGGTGTCCCTATCTATGGGCTTCAGTTGGGGGTCCCTGCCCTACGTATGGGCTTTGAGGGGGTCCCCGTTTCCTCGTGTGACACCGAACCCCCCCCCCCCCCCCAGGCCCCCTCTTTCCCCCCATGGCCCCCCCTCCCCTTTCCCTCCCCGTCCCCTTTCCCCCCCTCTCCCCCGCTCCTTCCTCCTCCTCCTCCTCCTCCTCCTCCTCCTCCTCCCCTCCGCCGCCCCCTGCCCCTCCGTTTGCCGCTGCGCCGGGGGCCGCGTCTACTGCAACGACCGGGGCCTGACGGCGATCCCGGAGGGGGTCCCCGCGGGGGCGACCACGCTCTTCCTGCAGAACAACCGCATCGGGGACGCGGGGATCCCCGCTCGCCTCGCTCGGCTCTCGGCCCTCAAGGTTCTTTACCTCTACGCCAACGCCTTGGAGCACTTCCCGGCCCACCTGCCCCCGGCGCTGCGGGAGCTTCACCTGCAGGAGAACAACGTCCGCGGGCTCTGCCGTCGGGCGCTCGCCCGCGCCCCGCTCCTCGAGCGCCTGCACCTGGACGACAACTCCGTGTCCGCCGCCGGCATCGAGGAGGACGCGTTCGCCGAGAACCGCCGCTTGCGGCTCCTCTTCCTGTCCCGCAACCACCTGAGCAGCGTCCCCCCGGGGCTGCCGCCGGCCCTCGAGGAGCTGCGCCTCGACGACAACCGCATCCACACCATCCCCTTGCGCGCCTTCGAGGGGCTGCCCGCGCTGCGCCGCCTGGTCCTGGACGGGAACCTCCTGGCGAACCAGCGCATGGCCGACGACACCTTCAGCCGCTTGGGCAACCTCAGCGAGCTCTCCTTGGGTCGCAACGCGTTGGCCGCCCCCCCGGCCAACCTGCCCCGCGCCCGCCTGCGCCGCTTGTCCCTGGCCGCCCACGCCATCAACCACGTCCCCGCCGGCTCCCTGGCTCGGATGAGGGCCCTGGAGCGCTTGGACCTGTCGGACAACAACCTGACCACGCTGCCGCGGGGGCTCTTCGACGACCTGGGCAGCCTGAGCCACCTGGGGCTGCGGAACAACCCCTGGTTCTGCGGCTGCAACCTGGCCTGGCTGCGGGACTGGCTGCGGCGCGGAGCCCCGCGGGGGCTGGAGGTGAAGGGGCTGCTGTGCCAGGCCCCGGCGCGGCTGCGGGGGCTGCCGGTGGGGGAGCTGCGGGGGGAGATGGATGCGTGCGACCCCCCCCCGCACAACGCGGCTACCCCCGGCACCGCCGCCGTGTCCCCGGCATCACCGGCGGCAGCGGAGGGGGGGCTCTGGGTGCAAGCGGCTCCGGGGGGGGCTTTAAGGATCCGGTGGCCGCCGGCTCCCCCCGGCGCGTCCCTGCGGCTCAGCTGGTTCCGGCCGGGGCTGGGCGCGGTAACGGAGACGCTGGTGCGGGGGGACCGGGGCGAGTACGTGGTGACGGCGCTGCAGCCGCGAGCCCCGTACCGGGTCTGCCTCTCGGCGCTGGACCCCGCGGGCGGCCCCGGGGCCCCGCTCTGCGCCCAGGCCCGCGCCGGCGCCGCCCCCCCCGCCCCGGTGTCACCGGGACCCCCCCGCCGCCAGCCGGGGGCGGCTCCCATCGCGCTGCCACCCGCGGCCGCTGCGGGGGGGCGGCGGCGGCGGCGGCCGGGCTGGTGCTGGGGGTGCTGGGGGGGTGGTGGAGGAGGAGGAAGAGGAGGATGGGGGGCGCCGAGAGGGGGGCGCCGCCGGTACCGGCCCACAAAGCGGGGGGGGGCGGGGGGCGGGTGCCGCTGCGGCCCCTGCGGGCCCCCGAGGACGGGGGCATCCGGACCGTGTTCCCTCCCCCCCCCCTCCGCCGCCGCCCCCCCCCAGCGCTCGGGGGTACCGGGGGGGGCGGGTGCCCCACGGCACAGGGGGATCCTGATGGGGGGGGGGGGGGGGGGTCAGGATCCCCCTGTGCCGTGGGGCACCCGCCCCCGGTGTGGGGATGGATCCCAACATACAGATGGGGGGACCCCCCCCAGTGGGGATGCGCCCCACTCTAAGGACATTTGGGGGGGTCACTGGAGGTGTTGGGGGGGGTCAGTCCCCCGTTGCCCCCCCCCGTTTTTTTGGGACATTTTGGGGTTTTTAAGGTGTTTTTTTTCCTGCACAGCTGCTTCTGGGGGGGGAAAAGGTGGATTTGGGGCAGGATGGGGGTTGGGGGGGCCCACGGATCTGCCACCCCATTGACCCCCATTTAGGACAAGAGACCATGGGGAGGGGTTATGGGGGGGGGGTGTCAATCCAGGGGTCTGAGGGGGGGGGGTGTCAATCCTCCGCCCCCCCCTTGCGAGGTGCCTTCACCCCTTCCCCCCCCCCCCCCGCTGTTGGAACTGGGGGGGAAAGGACCAAAATCAGGGAAATGGACCCAAAAAGGCCTCCCCCCCCCCCCCAATAAATCCAGCGGCTCCTTTGCCCGCCAGTGCTTCTTCCCGGGCCCAGTGGGTGGGGGGGGGCTGGGGGGGCCGGGGGGGGGGGGCACAAAGGTGTGAAGGGGGGAGGGGTCACGGGGGGGCTGCCCCAGGTTCACGTCAAGGTCATGGCCCCCCTCCCCCCCCAACCCCCCCGTCTCGGGGACCCCCCGTCGTTCAAGCCCCGCCCCCTTCAAGCCCCGCCCCCCTTCAAGCCCCTCCCCCGTCGTGGCACCGCCCCCGTGCAAGCCCCTCCCCGTCGTGCAAACCCCTTCCCCCTCGTGCAAGCCCCGCCCCCTTCAAGCCCCTCCCCGTCGTGAACCCCCCCTTGCAAGCCACCGCCCCGTCGTGTAAACCCCTCCCCGTCGTTCAAGCCCCGCCCCTTCAAGCCCCGCCCCCTCCAAGCCCTCCCCTGTCGTGCACCCCCCCGTGCAAGCCCCCTCCCCCGTCGTGCAAACCCCTTCCCCCGTCGTGCAAGCCCGCCCCCGTCGTGCAAGCCCCGCCCCTTCAAACCCCTCCCCCGTCTTGCGTCCCCCCCCCGTGCAAGCCCCTCCCCCGTCATGCAAACCCCTCCCCCCGCTCGTTCAAGCCCCTCCCCGCCGGTGCAAACACCGGCGATGCCTCCGCGCCGCCAGGTGGCGCCCTCCCTCCTCCCTCTGCCACTCTTTCTGATTGGCACTGCGCTCAGCCAATAGGAGAGGTGGAAAATTCCAGAACGCGCCCGCACTCCCCACCAATAGGAGGCCAGCGCCGGGCAGCGCTGCCAATCAGCGCCGGGCTGGGGGGCGGGCGAGGGGGCGGGCCCTAGCGCCTTCTTCCGGCTTCCGGCAAGGGTTTGGGGAGGCGGGCGCTACTTTCCCTTTCAGCCAATGGGAAGGAGGAACCGCTGCCGAGAGCCAATGGAGGCGCGCGCGGGGGCGGGCGGGCGGGGCCGACAGCCAATGGGGCGCGGGTGGGCGGGGCCCCGGGGTTCTAGCAGCTTCCAGAAGGCGGCGCGGTAGCGGCGGGAGCGGAGCGGGGCCGACATGGAGGAGGTGGGGGCCGGGGGGGGGTGTGGGGTCCCCATGGGGGGGTTCGGGGGTCCCATGGGCGGGTTGGGGGGCGCGGGGTCCCCATGGGGGGGTTGGGGGGTGCGGGGATCCCATAGAGGGGGTGCGGGGGGGGGGGTTCGGGGTCCCGGGGCAGGGCTGAGGGGATACGGGGTCTCCGAGGCCCTCCTGGAGGGGCCCGGCGTGGGGGGGGGGGGCTCTAAATGGGGGGCGCTGGGACCCCCTTTCCCCACCCCCCCGTGCCCTTCCCCTCCCGTCCTCATCCTCGCGCCCCTTTGCCTTGCTCCCAGGCCCCTCCCCTTCCTCCCGGGGCCCCTCCTCTTCCTCACACCTCCCTCCTCCTCCTCGTGCCCCGGTCCCGGTGCCCAGGCGCAGGCGCTGAAGGAGCGGGGGAACCGGGCGCTGGCGGCGGGGGACGTGGCGGCCGCCGTGCGCCATTACTCGGCCGCCATCGCGCTGGACGCCACCAACCACGTCCTGTTCAGCAACCGCTCGGCGGCCTACGCCAAGCAGGGCGAGTACGGGCGGGCCCTGGCCGATGCCTGCCGCACCCTGGAGCTGCGCCCGGACTGGGCCAAGGTGAGCCCGGAGCACCCATGGGTGCTGCATTGGTTCATGTCTGTGTGTGAGCCCAGAGCACCCATGGGTGCTGCATTGGTTCCTGTCTGTGTGTGAGCCCAGAGCACCCATGGGTGCTGCACTGGTTCCTGCCTGTGTGTGAGCCCAGAGCACCCATGGGTGCTGCATTGGTTCATGTCTGTGTGTGAGCCCAGAGCACCCATGGGTGCTGCACTGGTTCGTGTCTGTGTGTGAGCCCCAGAGCACCCATGGGTGCTGCATTGGTTCGTGTCTGTGTGTGAGCCCCAGAGCACCCATGGGTGCTGCATTGGTTCGTGTCTGTGTGTGAGCCCCAGAGCACCCATGGGTGCTGCATTGGTTCGTGTCTGTGTGTGAGCCCAGAGCACCCATGGGTGCTGCATCGGTTCCTGGGGGTGTGTGAGCCCCAGAGCACCCATGGGTGCTGCATCGGTTCCTGGGGGTGTGTGAGCCCCAGAGCACCCATGGGTGCTGCATCACCTCCTGTGTGTGTGTGAGCCCCAGAGCACCCATGGATGCTGCATCAGCTCCTGTCTGTTTGTGAGCCCAGAGCACCCATGGGTGCTGCATTGGCTCCTGTGGGTGTGAGCCCCATAGCATCCATGGGTGCTGCATCACCTCTTTTGTGTATGAGCCCCATAGCGCCCATGGGTGCTGCATCAGCTTCTGTGTGTGTGTGAGCCCAGAGCACCCATGGGTGTTGCATCACCTCCTCTGTGTGTGTGAGCTAAATAGCACCCATGGGTGCTGCATCACCTCTTGTCTGTGTGAGCCCCAGAGCATCCATGGGTGCTGCATTGGTTCCTGTGTGTGTGTGAGCCCAGAGCACCCATGGGTGCTGCATTGGTTCCTGTGGGTGTGTGAGCCCAGAGCACCCATGGGTGCTGCATTGGTTCCTGTGGGTATGTGAGCCCAGAGCACCCATGGGTGCTGCATCAGCTCCTGTGTGTGTGTGAGCCCCAGAGCACCCATGGGTGCTGAATCAGCTCCTGTGTGTGTGTGAGCCCAGAGCACCCATGGGTGCTGCATCACTTCCTGCGTGTGTGAGCCCAGAGCACCCATGGGTGCTGCATCAGCTCCTGTGTGTGTGTGAGCCCAGAGCACCCATGGGTGCTCCATCACCTCCTCTGTGTGAGCCCAGAGCATCCATGGGTGCTGCATCAGCTCCTGTCTGTGTGTGAGCCCAGAGCACCCATGGGTGCTGCATCAGCTCCTGTGTGTGTGTGAGCCCAGAGCACCCATGGGTGCTGCATTGGTTCCTGGGGGTGTGTGAGCCCCATAGCACCCATGGGTGCTGCATCAGCTCCTGTGTGTGTGTGAGCCCAGAGCACCCATGGGTGCTGCATGAATTCCTGTGGGTGTGAGCCCCAGAGCACCCATGGGTGCTGCATCAGCTCCTATGTGTGTGTGAACCCATAGCACCCATGGGTGCTGCATTGGTTCCTGGGGGTGTGTGAGCCCCATAGCACCCATGGGTGCTGCATCAGCTCCTGTGTGTGTGTGAGCCCAGAGCACCCATGGGTGCTGCATGAGTTCCTGTGGGTGTGAGCCCCAGAGCACCCATGGGTGCTGCATCAGCTCCTGTGTGTTTGTGAGCCCAGAGCACCCATGGGTGCTCCATTGGTTCCTGGGGGTGTGTGAGCCCCAGAGCACCCATGGGTGCTCCATCACCTCCTCTGTGTGTGAGCCCAGAGCACCCATGGGTGCTGCATCGGCTCCTGTGAGTGTGTGTGAGCCCAGAGCACCCATGGGTGCTTCATCAGCTCCTGTGTATGTGTGAGCCCAGAGCACCCATGGGTGCTTCATCAGCTCCTGTGTGTGTGTGAGCCCAGAGCACCCATGGGTGCTGCATCGGCTCCTGTGAGTGTGTGTGAGCCCAGAGCACCCATGGGTGCTTCATCAGCTCCTGTGTATGTGTGAGCCCAGAGCACCCATGGGTGCTTCATCAGCTCCTGTGTGTGTGTGAGCCCAGAGCACCCATGGGTGCTGCATCACCTCCTCTGTGTGTGTGTGAGCCAAGAGCATCCATGGGTGCTGCATCGCCTCCTGTGGGGGTGTGAGCCCCAGAGCACCCATGGGTGCTGCATCAGCTCCTGTGTGCGTGTGTGTGTGTGTGTGTGTGTGCCCTAAGGTGAGACCCATAGCACCCATGGGTGCTCCATCACCTTCTCTGTGTGTGTGTGTGCACCCTAAGGTGAGACCCATACCACCTGTGGGTGCTCCATCACCTTCTCTGTGTGTGTGCATGTGCTTCAATGTGAGACCCATAGCACCCATGGGTGCTCCGTCACCTCCTGTGTGTGTGCCCTAAGGTAAGACCTATAGCACCCATGGGTGCTTAGTCACCTCCTATGTGTTTGTATGTGTCTCAGGGTGAGTGCTGCAGCGCCCATGGGTGCTCTTGTCACCTCCGGTGTCTGTGTGAGCCCCATAGCACCCATGGGTGCTCAATCACCTCCTATGTGTGTGTGTGCCCCAAGGTGAGCCCCACGGCACCCATGGGTGCTCCATCATTCTGTGTGTGTGTGAGACCCGTAGCCCCCATGGGTGCTCCATCAGCTCCTGTGTGTGTGTGTGCCCCAAGGTGAGACCCATAGCGCCTATGGGTGCTCCATCATCTTCTGTGTGTATGAGACCCATAGCATCACCTTTGTGTGTGTGCGCGCCTCAGTGTGAGACCCATAGCACCCATGGGTGCTCCATCACTTCCTCTGTGTGTGAGTGTGTGCCCCAAGGTCAGCCCCATAGCACCCATGGGTGCTCCGTCACCTTCTCTGTGTGTGTGTATGTGCTTCAGTGTGAGACCCATAGCACCCATGGGTGCTCTGTCACCTTCTCTGTGTGTGTGTGTGCCCTAAGGTGAGATCCATAGCACCCATGGGTGCTCCATCACCTCCTATGTGTGTGTGAGTGTGTGCCCTAAGGTGCGACCCATAGCACCCATGGGTGCTCCATCACCTCCTATGTGTGTGTGTGTGTGTGCCCTGAGGTGCGACCCATAGCACCCATGGGTGCTCCATCACCTCCTATGTGTGTGTGAGTGTGTGCCCTAAGGTGAGACCCATAGCACCCATGGGTGCTCCATCACCTTCTCTCTGTGTGTGTGTGCCCTAAGGTGAGATCCATAGCACCCATGGGTGCTCCATCACCTTCTCTATGTGTGTGTGTGTGTGTGCCCTAAGGTGAGACCCATAGCACCCGTGGGTGCTCCATCACCTATGTGTGTGTGAGTGTGTGCCCCAAGGTCAGCCCCATAGCACCCATGGGTGCTCCATCACCTTCTCTGTGTGTGTGTGTGTGTGCCCAAAGGTGAGATCCATAGCACCCATGGGTGCTCCATCACCTCCCATGTGTGTGAGTGTGTGCCCAAAGGTGAGACCCATAGCACCCATGGGTGCTCCATCACCTCCTCTGTGTGTATGTGTGCCTCAGTGTGATTCCCATAGCACCCATGGGTGCTCCATCACCTTCTCTGTGTGTGTGTGTGTGTGCCCTAAGGTGAGACCCATAGCACCCATGGGTGCTCCGTCACCTCCTGTGTGTGTGAGTGTGTGCCCTAAGGTAAGACCCATAGCACCCATGGGTGCTTAGTCACCTCCTATGCGTTTGTATGTGCCTCAGGGTGAGTGCTGCAGCGCCCGTGGGTGCTGTTGTCACCTCCGGTGTCTGTGTGAGCCCCATAGCACCCATGGGTGCTCAATCACCTCCTATGTGTGTGTGTGCCCCAAGGTGAGCCCCACGGCACCCATGGGTGCTCCATCACCTCTGCCTGTGTGTGTGCCCATGCCTGAAGGTGAGCTCTGCAGCACCCATGGGTGCTCTGTCACCTTCGTATATGTGTCCCAAGGTGAAACCCATAGCACCCATGGGTGTTCCATTATCTTCTATAGATGTGTGCATCCATGCCCTAAGGTGGGTGCTGCAGCACCCATGGGTGCTCCATCACCTCCAGTGTGTGTGTGTGTGTGTGTGTGTGTGTATGTGTGTCCAGCATCGACTGGGCCTGCAGTACCAATGGGTGCTGCATTAACTCCTATGTGTGTGTCTGTGCCTATGCTCCAAGCACCCATGGGTGCTCCCTGACCCCTGTGTGTCCCTGCTCTACATGGCAGTAGCACCCATGGGTGCTCCCTGACCCCTGTGTGTCCCTGCCCTACATGACCGCAGCACCCATGGGTGCTCCCTGACCCCTGTGTGTCCCTGCTCTATGTGACAGCAGCACCCATGGGTGCTCCCTGGCCCCTGTGTGTTTGTGCCCCACATGACCCGCATCACCCATGGGTGCTCCCTGACCCCCCCTGTCTGTCCTTGCTCTATGTGACTGCAGCACCCATGGGTGCTCCCTGACCCGTGTGTGTTTTTGCCCCACATGACCCGCATCACCCATGGGTGCTCCCTGACCCCCCCTGTCTGTCCTTGCTCTATGTGACTGCAGCACCCATGGGTGCTCCCTGACCCCTGTGTGTTTGTGCCCCATGTGACCCGCAGCACCCATGGGTGCTCCCTGACCCCTCTGTGTTTGTGACCCACATGACCTGCATCACCCATGGGTGCTCCCAGCCCCACATGACCCGCATCACCCATGGGTGCTCCCTGCCCCACATGACCTGCATCACCCATGGGTGCTCTCTGCCCCATGTGACCCGCAGCATCCATGGGTGCTCCCTGACCCCTGTGTGTCTGTGCCCCACATGACCCGCATCCCCCCTGGGTGCTCCCAGCCCCACGTGACCCACATCACCCCTGGGTGCTCCCTGCCCCACATGACCCGCATCCCCCCTGGGTGCTCCCAGCCCCACGTGACCCACATCACCCATGGGTGCTCCCTGCCCCACATGACCCGCATCCCCCCTGGGTGCTCCCAGCCCCACGTGACCCACATCACCCATGGGTGCTCTCAGCCCCACATGACCCGCAGCCCCCATGGGTGCTCCCAGCCCCACGTGACCCGCATCCCCCCTGGGTGCTCTCTGCCCCACGTGACCCGTATCCCCCCTGGGTGCTCCCAGCCCCACGTGACCCACGTGACCCACATGCCCCCTGGGTGCTCGCAGCCCCACGTGACCCACATGACCCCTGGGTGCTCCCAGCCCCACGTGACCCACATGCCCCCTGGGTGCTCGCAGCCCCACGTGACCCACATGCCCCCTGGGTGCTCGCAGCCCCACGTGACCCACATGACCCCTGGGTGCTCGCAGCCCCACGTGACCCTGCCCCACGTGCCCTGCCCGCAGGGTTACTCGCGCAAGGCGGCGGCGCTGGAGTTCCTGCAGCGGCTGGAGGAGGCCAAGGCCGCCTATGAGGAGGGGCTGCGGCACGAACCCGGCAACGCCCAGCTCCGGGACGGGCTGCGGGGGGTGGAGGCGCGGCTGGCGGGTGAGGGGGGGCAAGGGGGGGGTCAATGATGGGGTTTGGGGGGTCAATGGTGGGTTTGGGGGGTCAATGATGGGTTTGGGGGGTCAATGATGAGGTTTGGGGGGTCAATGATGGGGTTTGGGGGGGTCAATGATGGGTTTGGGGGGTCAATGATGGGGTTTGGGGGGGTCAATGATGGGTTTGGGGGGTCAATGATGGGGTTTGGGGGGGGCAATGATGGGTTTGGGGGGGGCAATGATGGGTTTGGGGGGGTCAATGATGGGTTTGGGGGGTCAATGATGGGTTTGGGGGGTCAATGATGGGGTTTGGGGGGGTCAATGATGGAGTTTGGGGGGTCAGTGATGGGTTTGGGGGGGTCAATGATGGGTTTGGGGGGTCAATGAGGGGTTTGGGGGGTCAATGATGGGTTTGGGGGGGTCAATGATGGGTTTGGGGGGTCAATGATGGGTTTGGGGGGTCAATGAGGGGTTTGGGGGGGTCAATGATGGGTTTGGGGGGTCAATGATGGGTTTGGGGTGGTCAATGATGGGGTTTGGGGGGGTCAGTGATGGGTTTGGGGGGGTCAATGATGGGGTTTGGGGGGGTCAATGATGGGTTTGGGGGGGTCAATGATGGGTTTGGGGGGTCAATGATGGGGTTTGGGGGGTCAATGATGGGTTTGGGGGGGTCAGTGATGGGGTTTGGGGGGTCAATGATGGGTTTGGGGGGTCAATGATGGGTTTGGGGGGTCAATGATGGGTTTGGGGGTGTCGATGGGTTTTGGGGTCCATGTAATCACGGTCGCTGTTGGGTGCCCCCCCCCCAGAGCGGAAGCTGCTGAACCCCTTCAGCGCCCCGGACCTGCTGGGCCGGCTCGAGGGGGACCCGCGGACGCGCGCGCTGCTGCGGGACCCCGAATACCGCCACCTGCTGGAGCAGCTGCGCAGCGACCCCGCGCAGCTCGGCTCGTACGGAGCGGGGGGGGCGATTGGGGGGCGCGGGGTCGGGGTTGGGGGGCATGGGATGGTTTGGGGTCGGGTTTGGGGTGCACGGGGTCAGTTCTGGGGTGCCTGGGGTCAGGTTTGGGGTCAGTTATGGGGTTCATGGGCTCAGTTCTGGGGTGCATGGGGTCACTTTTGGGGTGCCGGGGGGCTGGTTTGGGCTCAGTTTTGGGGTGCATGGGCTCAGTTCTGTGGTGCCCGGGGTCAGTTTTGGGCTGAGTTCTGGGGTGCCTGGGGTCGGATTTGGGCTCAGTTTTGGGGTGCATGGGCTCAGTTTTGGGGTGCATGGGGCTGGTTTGGGCTCAGTTTTGGGGTTCATGGGCTCAGTTTTGGGGTCGATGGGCTCAGTTTTGGGGTGCATGGGGCTGGTTTGGGCTCAGTTTTGGGGTGCATGGGGTCAGTTCTGGGGTGCCTGGGGTCAGGTTTGGGGTCAGTTTTGAGGTTCATGGGCTCAGTTCTGGGGTGCATGGGGTCACTTTTGGGGTGCCGGGGGGGCCGGTTTGGGCTCAGTTTTGGGGTGCATGAGGTCGGGTTTGGGGTCACTTTTGGGGTTCATGGGGTCAGTTCTGTGGTGCCCGGGGTCAGTTTTGGGCTGAGTTCTGGGGTGCCTGGGGTCGGATTTGGGCTCACTCTTGGGGTGCATGGGCTCACTTTTGGGGTGCATGGGGTCACTTTTGGGGTGCCCGGGCTCAGTTTTGGGGTGCATGGGCTCACTTTCGGGGTGCATGGGGTCACTTTTGGGGTGCCCGGGCTCAGTTTTGGGGTGCATGGGGTCAGTTCTGGGGTGCCCGGGGTCGGGTTTGGGCTCAGTTTTGGGGTGCATGGGCTCAGTTTTGGGGTGCATGGGGTCAGTTCTGGGGTGCCTGGGGTCGGGTTTGGGCTCAGTTTTGGGGCTCATGGGCTCACTTTCGTGGTGCATGGGGTCACTTTTGGGGTGCCCGGGGCTGGTTTGGGCTCAGTTTTGGGGTTCATGGGCTCAGTTTTGGGGTTCCCGGGCTCAGTTTTGGGGTTCCCGGGCTCACTTTCGGGGCCCCCCCGCAGGAAGCTGCAGGACCCTCGGGTCATGACCACCCTGAGCGTGCTGCTGGGGGTGGAGCTGAGTGGGGCCGAGGAGGAGGAGGAGGCGCCCTCCCCCCCCCCCCCGCCCCCCCCCAAACCCCCGGCCCAGCCCCCCCCGCCCGAGGAGCTCCCCGAGAACAAGAAGGAGGTGAGGGGGGAGGGGCGGCTTTTGGGGTGCCCCCCCCCAACCCCAGCAGGGGGAGCCTGGAAATGAGGGGGAGGAGCTGGAGGGGCTTCGAGGGCAGGTTTGGGGGGGTTGGGGAGGTTTGGGGGGGGGTTGGGGGGTTTTGAGAGGTTTTGGGGGCGTTTGGGCAGGTTTTGGGGTGTTTGGTCAGGTTTTGGAGGGTTTGGGGAGGTTTTGGGAGGTTTGGTCAGGTTTTGGGGTGCTGGGGGAGGTTCTAGGGCAGGTTTTGGGGTGTTTTGAGGGGGTTTGGGAGGTTTTGCAGTGTTTTGGTCAGGTTTTGGGGTGTTTGGGCAGGTTTTGGGGTGTTTTGGGAGGTTCTAGGGCAGGTTTTGGGGTGTTTTGGTCAGGTTTTGGGGTGCTTTGGGAGGTTTTGGGCAGGTTTTGGGGTGTTTGGGCAGGTTTTGGGCAGGTTTGTGGGGTATTTTGGGAGGTTTTGGGGTGTTTGGGCAGGTTTTGGGGTGTTTTGTCAGGTTCTGAGGTATTTGGGCAGGTTTTGGGCAGGTTTTGGGGTGTTTGGTCAGGTTTTGGGGTGCAGGGGCAGGTTTTGGGTGGTTTTGGGGTGGGGGGGAAGTTCTAGGGCAGGTTTTGGGGTATTTTGGGAGGTTTTGGTCAGGTTTTGGGGTGTTTTGGTCAGGTTTTGGGGTGTTTGGTCAGGTTTTGGGGTATTTTGGGAGGTTTTGGGCAGGTTTTGGGGTGTTTTGGGAGGTTTTGGGCAGGTTTTGGGGTGTTTTGGGAGGTTTTGGTCAGGTTTTGGGGTGCGGGGGCAGTGCCGGGGGTGATTTTGGGGTGCCTCCCCCCCGCCCCCCAGGCCCAGCAGGAGAAGGAGCTGGGCAACGCCGCCTACAAGCGCAAGGAGTTCCCCGCGGCGCTGGCTCACTACACCCGCGCCGAGGAGCTGGACCCCACCAACATGAGCTACGTCACCAACCAGGCGGGTGAGCGCCCCCCCAACCCACAAACACCCCCTTGAATGCCCCCAAACCCCCTCCAACCCACAAACACCCCCTGGAACCCACAAACACCCCCTGGAACCCACAAACACCCCCCCTGAACCCACAAACACCCCCTGGAACCCACAAACACCTCCTGGAACCCACAAACACCCCCTGGAACCCACAAACACTCCCCCCTGAACCCACAAACACCCCCTGGAACACCCAAACACCCCCTTGAATCTCCACTTGAACCCCCAACCCCCCTGAACCCCCAAACACCCCCCCAAACACCCCCTTGAATGCCCACCCCCCCCGAACACCCTAAACCCCACCCTGAAACCCCCAAAACCCCCTCTTGAACCCCCAACCCACCCCATGAACCCCCCAAACACCCCCCTTGAATCCCCAACCCTTCCCTGAACCCCCTAAAACCCCTCATAAATTCCCAACACCCCTGAACCCCCCAAACCCCCCTTAAACACCCACTGCCCCCTTGAATCCCCAACCTCCCCCTTGAATCCTTAAAACCTCCCTTGAACCCCCCCAAACCCCCCTGAACCCCCAAACCCCCCCTTGACCCCCCCAACCCACCCCTTGAACCCCCCTGAATCCCCCAAACACCCCCATTGAACCCCCAACCCTTCCCTGAACCCCCCAAAATGCCTCTTGAACACCCACCCCCCTTGAACCCCCCAACCCACCCGTTGAACCCTCCCAAATCCCTCCAAACCCCCAACCCCCCCTTGAACCCCCCAAAATCCCCCCTTGAACCCCCAAACGCCCCCCTTAAACACCCACCCCCCCTTGAATCCCCCCCAAACCTCCCTTGAACCCCCAACCCACCCCTTGAACCCCCCCGAACCCCCAAACCCCCCCTTAAACCCCCCAAGATCCCCCTTGAACCCCCAAACGCCCCCCTTGAATCCCCACCCCCCCCGAACCCCCAAAATCCCCCTTGAACACCCAACACCCCTTGAATCCCCAAAACCTCCCTTGAACCCCCAAACTCCCCCCTTGAACCCCAACTCCCCCAAACTGCAACTCCCCCTTGAACCCCCAACCCCCCTTGTAGCCCCAAACCCCCCAAACTACCACCCCCCTTAAACCCCCCCAAAAGCCCAAACGCCCCCCTTGAGCCCCAACCCCCCCTGAACCCCAACTCCCCCCTTGAATCTCCAACTCCCCTTGTACCCCCCAAACTCCTAAATCCCCCCTTGAGCCCCCCAGAAGCCCCCTTAAACCCCCTAAAATCCCCCCTTGAACCCACAACCCCCCCAAACCCCCCCTTGAACCCCAATCCTCCCTTGTACCCCCCAACCCCCCCTGAACTCCCAAACCCCCCTGAACTCCCAAACCCCCCCCTTAAACCCCCCAAAACCCCCCTTTGTACCCCCCAAAACCCCCAAACTCCCCACCCCCCCTTAAACCCCCCACAAATCCCCCTTGAACCCCCAAACGCCCCCCTTGAACCCCCAACCCACCCCTTGAAGCCCCCCAAACCCCCCCTTAAAACCCCCAAGATCCCCCTTGAAGTCCCAAATGCCCCCCTTGAACCCCAACTCCCCCATGAACCCCCAAAACCCCCCTTAAACACCCAACCCCCACTTGAATCCCCAAAACCTCCCTTGAACCCCCAACCCACCCCCAAACCCCCTATTGAACCCCCCCAAACACTCCCCTTGAACCCCAACCCCCCCGAACCTCAACACCCCTCTTGAAACCCAACTCCCCCCTTGTACCCCCTAACTCCCCCTGAACTCCCAAAACCCCCCCTTAAACCCCCCAAAACCCCCCTTTGTACCCCCCAAGCCCCCCCAAACTCCCACCCCCCCTTAAACACCCCCAAATGCCCCCTTTGAACCCCAATCCCCCCCGAACCTCAACACCGCCTTGAACCCCCCAAACCCCCCCCAAACTCCCACCCCCCTTAAAGCCCCCCAAAACCCCCCCTTGAACCCCCAAATGCCCCCCTTGAACCCCAATCCCCCCTGAACCCCAACTCCCCCCTTGAACCCCAACCCCCCTTGAACCCCCAAATGCCCCCCTTGAACCTCCAACCCCCCTTGTACCCCTCAAACCCCCCCAAACTCCTAAACCCCCCATTGAGCCCCCCAAAAGCCCCCTTAACCCCCCCAAAATCCCCCTTGAACCCCCAACCCCCCCCCGTACCCCCCAAATCCCCCCGAACTCCCACCCCCCCTTAAACCCCCCAAAACCCCCCTTTGTACCCCCCCACCCCCTAAACCCCCCCAAACCCCCCTTGAGCCCCCAAATGCCCCCCTTGAACCCCAATCCCCCTGAACCCCAACTCCCCCCATGAACCCCCAGCCCCCCCTTGTACCCCCCAAACCCCCCCAAACTCCCCTTAAACCCCCCCCAAACCCCCCCTTGAACCCCCAAACGCCCCCCTTGAACCCCAAATCCCCCCCCGAACCCCCTCTTTTCCTCCCTCCCAGCCGTCTACTTCGAGAGCGGGGACTACGCGCGGTGCCGGGAGCTCTGCACCAAGGCCATCGAGGTGGGGCGGCAGAACCGGGAGGACTACAGGCAGATTGCAAAGTGGGTCCGGTTGAAAAGAGGGGGTTCCCCCCCCTCCTTGCACCCCCAAATCCCCCCCCTCTTGGCACCACCCCCAAACCCCCCCCCCAATAGGGCCTACGCGCGCATCGGGAACTCGTACCTGCGCGAGGAGCGCTACAAGGACGCCATCCACTTCTATAACAAGTCCTTGGCCGAGCATCGCACCCCGGATGTGCTCAAGAAGTGCCAGCAGGTGATGGTGGGGAGGAGGGGGAAGGGGGGGGGGTTAAAACGGGGTGCACCCCCCCTAGGACCCCCCACTTTGACCCCCAAATGGGGCTGCTGCAGGCAGAGAAGATCCTAAAGGAGCAGGAGCGCTTGGCTTACATCGACCCCGAGCTGGCGCTGCAGGAGAAGAACAAAGGCAATGAATGCTTCCAAAGAGGTACAATGAGGGGGTCCTGGGGGGGGGGGGGGGGAGGTCTTGGGGTGGCCCCCAAGCCCTCAATGACTCCCCCTGGTGTGGGGGACCCCCCCCTTTGGCAGGGGATTACCCGCAGGCCATGAAGCACTACACCGAGGCCATCCGGCGCAACCCGCACGAGGCCCGGCTCTACAGCAACCGTGCTGCCTGCTACACCAAGCTGCTGGAGTTCCCCCTCGCCCTCAAGGTCTGGGGGGGTCCTGGGGGGTGCAGAGATTGGGGGTGCAGTTTTTGGGTGCCTCTGACCCCCCCCTTGCTCCCCTCCCCAGGACTGTGAGGAGTGCATCCGCCTGGAGCCCTCCTTCAGTGAGTGCTGGGGGGGTTGGTTTGGGGTCCCCCCCTCTGCTTGTTTCCCCTTCTCTGCCTGCGCCCTGCTTTTGTTGTGCTTGTTTTACCTCTTCAGCTGCCTGTTCCTCTGCCCCCCCTTCCTCTTCTGCCTGTTCTCCCCTGCCTGTACCCTTTCTTCTTCTGCCTGTTCTTCCGCCTGTTCCCATCTTCTCTGCCTGACCCTCTGCTTATTTCCTCCTGTCCACTTGTCATCTCCCTTCCTCCTCCGCCTGTTCCTCTTCTTGTATTCCCTTATGCTCTTCCTCTGCCTGTTCCCTCTTTTCTTGCACATGTTCCTCTGCCTGTTCCCCTTCTCCTCTGCCTGTTCTCCTCCTCCGCCTGTTCTCCTTCTCCTCCGCCTGTTCCTTCTCCTCTGCCTGTACTCCCCTTTCCCTCTGCCTGTTCCTCTCTTCTTGTATTTGCTTATCTTTTTCCTCTGCCTGTTCTTCTTCTCTACCTGTACCCCCCTTTCTCTTCTGCCTGTTCCTCTCCTCTCTGTGTATTCCCTTATCCTCTTCCTCTGCCTATTCCTTTCCTTGTTCCCTTCCTCCTCTCCCTGTCCCCTCTTTCCCTGCCTGTTCCCTTCCTCCTCTGCCTGTTCCTGTATTCCCTTCTCTTCCTCTCCCTGTTCCCTCTTCCTCTGCCTGTTCCCTCTCTTCCCCTGCCTGTTCCCTTCCTCCTCTGCCTGTTCCTCTTCCTGTACTCCCTTATCCTCTTCTTCTGCCTGTTCCCTCTCTCCTTCCATGTGTTCCTCTGCCTGTTTCCCTTCTCCTCTGCCTGTTCCCCTTTTCCAATTCTCCTCTTCTCTACCTGTACCTCCCTTTCCCTCTGCCTGTTCCTGTATTCCCTCCTCTTCCTCTCCCTGTTCCCTCTTCCCCTGCCTGTTCCCTCTCTTCCATTGTCTGTTCCCTTCCTCCTCTGCCTGTTCCTCTTCCTGTACTCCCTATTCCTCTTCCTCCGCCTGTTCCTTTCCTTGTTCCCTTCCTCCTCTCCCTGTCCCCCCTTTCCCTGCCTGTTCCCTTCCTCCTCCACCTCTCCCCACCTCCTTGCCCCCTTCTCCCCCAGTCAAAGGCTACACCCGGAAGGCGGCGGCGCTGGAGGCCATGAAGGATTACAGCAAGGCCATGGACGTCTACCAGCGCGCCCTCGACCTGGACTCCGGCTGCAAGGTGCTGGGGGGTGTCCCCTGTCCCCCCCCCATCATAGGGGTGTTGTTGTTGCTGCTGGGGGGGGCTCACAGCTCGCTGGCCCCCAGGAGGCCGCCGAGGGCTACCAGCGGTGCCTGCTGGCGCAGTACAACCGGCAGGACAGCCCCGAGGAGGTGAAGCGCCGCGCCATGGCCGACCCCGAGGTGCAGCACATCATGAGCGACCCCGCCATGCGCCTCATCCTCGAGCAGATGCAGAAGGACCCCCAGGCCCTCAGCGAGTGCGTGGCGGGGGGGGGGGGGGTCAGTGGGGTCCTGAAGGGACCCCAGGGGGGACTGGGGGGGGTCAGTGAGGTCCTAAAGGGATCCCAGGGGGGGCCTAGGGTGTTATTGGGGTCCTAAAGGGATCCCAAGGGGGGACTGGAGGGGGTCAGTGGGGTCCTGAAGGGATCCCAGGGGGGACTGGGGGGGGTCAGTGGGTCCTAAAGGGATCCCGGGGCGGGCCTAGGGTGTTATTGGGGTCCTAAAGGGATCCCTAGGGGGGACTGGGGGGGGTCAGTGGGGTCCTAAAGGGATCCCAGGGGGGGCCTAGGGCATTATTGGGTCCTAAAGGGATCCCAAGGGGGGACTGGGGGGGGGTCAGTGAGGTCCTGAAGGGATCCCAGGGGGGCCTAGGGTGTTATTGGGGTCCTAAAGGGATCCCTAGGGGGGACTGGGGGGGGTCAGTGGGGTCCTAAAGGGATCCCAGGGGGGGCCTAGGGTGTTACTGGGGTCCTAAAGGGATCCCAGGGGGAGCCAAGGGGGGGTCAGTGGGGTCCTAAAGGGATCCCAGGGGGGCCCTGGCGTGTTATCGGGGTCCTAACATGATCCTGGGGGAGGGAGCCTAGGGTGTTACTGGGGTCCTAAAGGGATCCCAGGGGGGACCGGGGGGGGTCAGTGGGGTCCTAAAGGGATCCCGGGGGGGACTGAGGGGGGGGGAGTCAGTGGGGTCCTAAAGGGATCCCAGGGCATCCCTGGGCTGTCAGTGGGGGTCTCAAAGGGATCCAGGTGGTCCCTGGGGTCTTACTGGGGTCCTAAAGCGATCCCAGGGGGGCCCTGGGCTGTCAGTGGGGGTCCCAAGGGGTCCAGGGGTGTTGTAAAGGGGTCCTAGGGTGTCCCTGATTGTCCCCAGGGCGTCCATGGGGGTTTTAAAGGGGTCCCAGGGTGTCCATGGGGGCTTAAAGGGGTCCCAGGGTGTCCATGGGGTTTAAAGGGGGTCCCACGGTGTCCATGGGGTTTAAAGGGGTCCCAGGGTGTCCATGGGGTTTAAAGGGGTCCCAGGGTGTCCATGGGGTTTAAAGGGGTCCCAGGGTATCCATGGGGTTTAAAGGGGTCCCAGGGTGTCCATGGGGTTTTAAAGGGGTCCCAGGGTGTCCATGGGGGTTTAAAGGGGTCCCAGGGTATCCATGGGGTTTAAAGGGGTCCCAGGGTGTCCATGGGGTTTAAAGGGGTCCCAGGGTGTCCATGGGGTTTTAAAAGGGGTCCCAGGGTGTCCATGGGGGTTTAAAGGGGTCCCAGGGTGTCCATGGGGTTTAAAAGGGGTCCCAGGGTGTCCATGGGGTTTAAAGGGGTCCCAGGGTGTCCATGGGGTTTAAAGGGGTCCCAGGGTGTCCATGGGGTTTAAAGGGGTCCCAGGGTGTCCATGGGGTTTAAAGGGGTCCCAGGGTGTCCATGGGGGCTTAAAGGGGTCCCAGGGTGTCCATGGGGGTTTAAAAGGGGTCCCAGGGTGTCCATGGGGTTTAAAGGGGTCCCAGGGTGTCCATGGGGGTTTAAAGGGGTCCCAGGGTATCCATGGGGGTTTAAAGGGGTCCCAGGGTGTCCATGGGGTGTTGCTGTGCTCCCATAGGGGTTCTGGGGTGTTCTAAGGGGGTCCCGGTCACCCCGTGATGCTCTCAAGGCCCCATGGGGGTCCCCATTGTCCCCCCCTGACCCCCCCCATCCCTCGCAGGCACCTCAAGAACCCGGTGATCGCGCAGAAGATCCAGAAGCTGATGGATGTGGGGCTCATCGCCATCCGGTGACCCCCCCCTTACCTGCCCCACACCCCCCACACCATGGAGGGCTGGGGGAGCTGGGGCTGGAGCCCCTATGGGGTGGAATGGGGGCCCCTGGCTGGAGTCCCCTATGGGGTGGATGGGGCCCTGGGGGCCTGAGTCTCTTGGGGGGGGCCCAAACCAACAACCC